TTTTTTTTTTTTTCTTTTGGATTAGAGCCGCAGAATGGATGAAGAGATTAGGAAAACTATGAGCAATGCGATGCGCGAAAAAACTATTAGTAAACAGCGCTCGCGAAGATTCCTGTTTTTGCCCTTCAGGATCTGTATTCACATGAAGAACGACAAAAAAAAAAATAATAATAAAAACTGTGCGAAGGTAAAAGAAAGTAATCTAGAACTGTAGTTTTTTCATAAGGTACAATGTGTAGTTGACTAGTTTATTATTTTTAAGCAAGTCTCTAAAACTGGGTAATTGTAAAAGGCATTAATTTTTGCAAGACTTCTAAAAAAGTGTCAAAGTCTATCTCCGTCTAGGATACTGTAGAGAATATAGTTTACTGGGAAAAAGCAACTGTATTAGCCCACATCGAAAAAAGTAAAGTCGATTAGGCTAAAGTTTCTGTTAAAAATTTTGATGTGCATCTAACTCTTTTTACGTGCAGCTTAATACTTTTTTTCTTTTTTTTTGTTCAGCGGCAATCAGTTGGCTTGATTTTGATTATGGGTTTGAAAAGCTGTGAGTAAAATTCTATTTCTGTTCCCCCAAAAAAAGTTTATTATAGTTCTAATCTATTTTAGGACTTGGCGAAATCGCTTTAATACAACAGAGATTTAAATTCTCTGTTTTTAAAAGTGAACGCGACGCTCAAGAATTGGTGATGTCGAGTTTTTGGAAAGCGAATTTTACTGCAATGGCAAGATAACGCGGTAGTTTCAGTTTAATAAATGGGGTTTTGAAAAGTGAACGTTTAGGAAATTTCTTGCTTTTTTAGAGGTCCCCGCTGGTTGCCAGTCAGTTTTTATTTTTTGCCCAACTAGATTTAACACCATCGATAGTGTTCGAAATTCTAAAAATTCTCTCGCTTTTATGTTAAGCACCTATCACCCTTTTCTGTGATCTCGGAAGCAGGGTTTTCCTGTTTCCTTTTGAGTTCTAGTCTTGAAATTGGCTTGAACTGCTAATTTTGCACGCCGGAAGGAGGAATTCCAAAGTGTAATAGTGTAAGGAAAAATCACGGCGACAAAGAAGGAGCAGGCTTGAAATTAATTCCAATTTAGTGGTAGGATCAAGTGAGAATATCTGGTAGAAAAGTAGTTTTTTGATGAATTTGGTTTTGGTTTTCCGCTCAAAGAAAAAAGCTTAGTTTTGAACCTACTACCTTTAGTGATTTCTATATTCTCCGTTTAAGCCTTTTAATTTAGCTTTCTTTTTAGCCTCTAAATGGGTATTTAGGTTGTTTCCCAAGGTACTCTCCGAATAACCTGGTGTTTTTCCAAAAAGAGGGATCTCCGATTACAACTCTTTTATGTGAATGGCAAGTTCATTAAAAATATTACTTAATCATTAATAGTAATTCATTTGTGAATTTTATAAACTAATTTCTGTAAGTCACAGTAAATTATGAATTGTTTAAAAAATTACTGAGTTGAATTGGCAAGGTTAAGAAAAGACCTGTTGGAGAAATTACTGATTTTATAGTAGTTTAAAAGTTTTTAGATAACTGTTCATTACATTAGTGCTTCATTTTAACAAAACCAGGTGTCTAAGAAGACAGTAAACAGTTGAACTGGTTAAAATGATACACAAATGGAGTAAAAGTAATGAAAGTTTTAATCAAAGTAAAGGTTTAGTTTTTGATATGTTAACTAATTTATATTGAATAAATTTTAGAACAACAATCAACTTACCTTCAAATTGCGTTTTAGGTATATGTTGACCAAACAAACGGAGGTTAGATAGTTCAGAGGTTGATATTTTGTAGCATCAAAAACTTGGTAGTTTAGGCAATGTTATGCTGAGGATAGGTGCGTTTGCACTAATGTTCAAAAAGTTCATCTCTTTGTCAAACCGACACATGTGAGCTTTCAAAAACAGAATTAAGGATTCAGACTATCAGTATCAACGTGACTGTTTATGTATACACATAATTTTACTGAGTGCTGAAAAAATTTTTCTGAACACTCTCAAATCAATACTACTACCTTACCTCTCACTATATTGCTAAATTTTAATATGAACTTTTGCCTTGTTAAACGTTGACCATGCTCTGTTTCTAATTCTTATCGAAAAATTTTATTTGCATGATGCATTTCACACCAACAAGGTTGTAATTTTTGTATCATGAAAATTTTCAAGTACATTTTACAAAATAGTTTTTTAAAGATTATTCGTGTTGAAATCTCAGATGCCAAGAAATGTTAAACGCACAGATTTTCTACAAAATTGAATGAGCAAAAAAAGTTACTGGGGTATTTCCTTTTTTTTACAGTTTTTGATGTTTAAAAATTTTATTAAATCGGTGTTGACTAGACAATTCACTGATTTACTGCTGGAAAGTTTTTTTTTCTTATAATATTAACTGTCTGTATTCTATAGTTAGTGTGAAATATAGCCGATGCTTTTTGGTGCTCATAAATACTGGCAATTTATTCTGATGTTTAAATATACGTTAAGCATGCAGATGATATCACCAAAAAAAAATTAAAATAACCTGTCTATACCGATTAAGAACAGCTCTACTTTACCACTCCCCCCTTTTGCCACCTCCGAAAAAAAAAACTTTGCTAGATTATAACTTGTTTCTTGGACTTTGTTTACTACAGAAAAAAAAAAAACTTGGCGAAAAATGCAGTATATATGTATCGCATTTTTGCGGAATTTGTTAAACTGGTCTTTTCTTTATAGCAACAATTCTTTCCCAATTCTTTTTTTCTCAACAAACGTCCATTAGATTATCAAAACGATTAATGGGATATAAAATAACAATTTAATAAATTTCCAAACTGCAAAAAACTGTTAATAACACAAATAGTTTTCTATGATTTCTACCATCCACTGATTACACGATTTTTATATGACTATTATATTGCAAATCATTAATACATCTAATCTTACTTCTTTTTTTTTTTTTCTTTTTTAAATGGAGAGACGGAGTAATGAAATATTTTTTTCCGTTTTCATCAGCAATGATATCTAAAATTAAAAGTACAACTATTTGCAACTGATAATTCATTTAGAGCGTTTATGAGTGCTACTCAAAACTGGATCTTTCTTCTCCTATCCTCAAAGAAGAAGGGAAAAAAACAATGCAAAAACACTGAAAATAAGACAGTGGTCTGGCGACAGATTGGTGGTTAGAATGGTTTAATTTTTAGGAATAAAGGACTTATAACTGTTCAAAGAATTGTTGAACAACAATTGTTAGAAATGGTAAAAAAATTAATAATGATGCATCGACGATTAAACATTTGTTCGATGACGACAACTATGAATATGGCACATGAAACGCATACCGATTGCTGAATAATGGTTCAACAAAAACACTCCCTTGCCCAAATTATTGATAAACATATTATTGGTGTGCAAAGGCTACACATAGGAAAAAACAATCTTGGCCATTCAATGATAAGGAAAAGATTGTTGTTTGTTAATCCCCAAAAACAGTTTTGTTCAAATTTTTTTTTCCAACAAAATACGCTGACTTTTATTTTACTATTTTGTTTAAAGAATTTTATTAACAACATTACTGTTTGATAATGATCAATAAATTTGGACTAACTTTCCTAAGACACCTGAATGTTCCGTCTAGAAACTGTCCGTAATGATCAACTACTTGCAATGATATCAAATTCCATTAGATCATTTCATCAAGCTCAGCGTTGAAGGGTGTTATACTGTGATTGACAACAGCTAACACGTTTTTAAACAGGTCAATGAT